CAAAGCTTGGTAGCTTTATTTGAAAGATATGTTGTTTTTTCTTATATGTTTGACCAGGTTTGCTTTTTCAAAAAAATTGTCAAAAAAGGAAATTTTTAGGAAAAAGAAGAATCAGTGGAGAAAGTTTTTTTTATAATTGATTTAGATTTACGATTATTTTTATTGATTAATTTATTTATTTAGAAAATAAAAAATTATACATATAGGTCAAAAAACTAAAAAAAAAATATTAAATTTATGAAATAATTAGATTTAATGAAATATATTAATAACAAATTTTCTAAAAAATTGAAATAGTAAAAAAATAAAATAGAAGAAAATTGATTGACTTAAATTTGTGAAATCTGAACTTGATTTTATAATAATTATATAATCTAGAGCAATTGAAAATTTTGAATTTAAAAATGTGTTAAGTTTAGAAAAATATTAAAAAATTTAATTTAGAAAAAATAGTAAAAAGATAAAATTGATGAAATTGATTATTGAAAAAGATCTGAAACTAGAAAAAGTAAAAGTAGAAATGAAAATCTTAATGAAAATTATTTCTAACAAATATAAATCAAAAATAGATAAAGTTTTTTTAAGTAATATAAATAAAAAAATATTATAAAAGTTAAAACTTAAATTAATAAAATTTATGGCTTTATATTTAATTCCTCACAAAAACAAATAAATAAATAATTATATACTTTATATTACTATAAAAAAAAAAAGATATTAAAAGATAGAAACTGAAAAATTGGAAATAAACAATTAACACTTATATATAAATAGTTAATTAAATAAAGTAAGACTAATAATATTTTGCATTTATGTTACCTTTAAGCTTAATTTTTAACAAATAATTAAAAAAAAGATATAAAAAATTAAAAATATACAATTTATTATTAAATAAAGGTCTAAGAAAGTTATTAATATCAGAATGAATTAATAAATGTAATTAAAAAAACAAAGGTTCATTTATCTGAAGAAAGTGAGACTAATTTAAAAAATTTTATTAAAAAAAAAAATTATAATTACAGTTAATATTTTAAAGAGATATTTTTTGACAAAATATTTTATATCAAATAATTTCAATATTAATTATAATTACTTATAGTTAAAGATTTATTGAAATATTTGAATAAATATTTGAAATTAATTCAAGTATTCTAGCTGACTTATAAATAATATTGTAATAATTTATATTTTTATAACATAATATTATTAAAAGACTTGTCAAATTGAATATATAATTTGAAAAAGATTTTAGAATATGAACAAGAAAAAGAAAAAAAAAAAGAATAAAGAATTAACAATTAAATCTAAAAGATAAAAAATTATCAAATATATAAAATTATTAATATATTCAAAAGATAGGAAACAAATTGGAGAAAGTATATAAATGGATAAAATTTGAAAACAATTAAAAACTTAAAAGAAAAAAGTGAAAAATCTTAAAAAATATTTAATAAGACAAAATCAATTGAGACTAGTTTCAAAAAAGTCAAATTGAAATTTTTTTTAAAAAAAAGAAAAGAAAGTAAAAAAGAAAAAAAGGGAAAAAGAGAAAAAGAAAAGTAACAAATAGTTTAATCAATTAATTTTGTAATTTTTTTATAATTTTTTAATAAATTTCATGAAACTTCCTAGATATTTACTAAATTTTAATACTGGATTTGTAACTTTTCCTGAATTTTTTGCCATAGATTGCAATTTTTTTTGTTGAATTTTTTGTTACAGTATCAATTTTTTTGTTGAATTTTTTATAATAGTATACAGAAATTTTTTTTTTTTTTGCTGTTTATATTTTTCTTTTATAAATTTATGTACAGTTATATAGTTTGATATAGATCAAAAGAAATGCATCAGAAAAAAAACAAAACAAAAAAACAATTAATATAATTAAATAATAAGTCAAATTTATTTTATAGATTATATTTACTTTTTTTTTTAAATAAATAAAATTTTTATCATTATACAACGTTTAAATAAAGAAAAAACTAGTTTTAAAAATTTTTAATCAAGCGGTGCATTACTTTTGCGAGGCACTATATATCAAGTGTTTTTTAAATAGATTAATTTGACCTAACTATGAATTACTTGCAAAAAAAAAAAAAAAAAAAAGAATAAAATAAATAAATAATAATTTCAACATTCAATATGCAAGTTTATTCTAGGAATCTTAATATTTTATCTTTTTAAATATAAATTATTAAAAAAAGATTCTTAATTTTAAATCTCTAAAAATATTTAATATTGTGAAAATAAATATGGATACCAATAAATGACAATACAATACCTTCGAGAGACAATAAAACAATTAGAAAGATCAACGGAAAAATGAAAAATTTCAAAAGAGAAACCAAAGCAAAAGGAGAAAGGAAGGTAGATAATGGTTTGGCTCATGATAGTCGTTCGTGCAAATGATCGAGATCATTGTGAATAATCTTTGCAACGTTCAACGAAATTGGATAATACAATGAGACATAAACTATATCAAATATTTATTAGTTTGAAGGAAGAGTCATGGAAAATTTACAAACTCTATTACTTTTTTTGTTCTAAAATTTGACATACAGTATCCTTTACCCATAATGCGATCCGAATTCCTTTTACATCCCGTCATAACGGTATGTTTAATTAGATGATGATGATGCTATATACCGTTACTCTCTTAACATTTTTTTTTTTTTGTATTTAATTATCTATGTATATGCAGAAACAAATGTTATATACTAATGAAAAAGGTAGAACACGTAATGGTTAGTTAATTGAGATCGTCTAGTCACGAATAGAGTTCATCGCCACTACTTATTGTGGCGTCACTGTCAACTTCGTTGACCGTTGATTCACGCGAAGCGGTCTTTGACGTCGATTTCGAGTCGGTTGTGTGATTAGCATACCACGACCAAGGTTTATACCAATGTTGATCCGTTCCGGACCTGGGTGGAGATATGTTACTCGCTGTGGTCGCAACAGATGCAGCATCGTCCTCGTCTTCCCCGTCGGATGAAGAGAATATAGGAGATTCCAGAGAGGAAGTGGATTGTCGAGAAAAGCAGCGCCGATAACCTTCTTCCTCAGTATCATCATCATCATCGTCATCAGATGTATCCATATCATTCCCTCCATCTATATAACATAAAGGCAATGAACATCAAAGTGACATTTAAACAAGACGCCACGAAAACCGCACCGGAAAAATGTAGGTACCTGTGAACATCACTTCGTCATCGTCTTGGTCATCTTCGGCTTCCGAATGTTCTGACGATGAACTACTAGTTTCGCTGTCTATCCCCTCCTCGGTGGTGGAATCATCTTGATACATGTTTCTCAGTCTTGAGGTGGTGGTCGCATGTCGATATAATGCATTCGAAAATTCGTATTCCGAATCGGATTGTGTACCATAAGTCGTTGATGTAGATGAATTTTGTGATGCGTTTAGAATGGTTTGTGGAAGTGTATTCATGAAGCTTAGCCGATTAGTGTTATTATACAATGGCTCTTCACCACGGACATATGAAGGTGTGGAACCCCTTGGGTCATCATCGTTGCGTCGTTCATTGCGCCGGGCATTATCATCGTATCTTGGTAAGTCGTTGGCCCTCTGAGGTAAACCATTAGGTCTCTGTAATTCTTCTAGTACAGTACTGGTAGAACGGCTACGATCAGATATTGGTCGTTCAAAGTAACTTGGAGAACGTTCGTATAGCATTTGAGTGGCATGTTCTATGAACGAGGAACTACTGTCGTGTCTACTTAATGACGTCCCGTCCATTTCGCTATCTCGACTCGAAACACGACGTGAGTCTTCTCGTTCCCTCTCAAGGTAATAGCTGTGGTAATTATTCCTGGGTGGATCGCTTCGGTGGCGAGAAAGCGATGGGGAACAGGACCTCATTGAAGAAGCATCGCGTTCTCGACGTTCTCGTAATATGGATCGAGATTCCCTGCCTTGTTGCCTGTGATCAATATTGTCTTGATCATCATCGTTACCAACTCCATCTGGTAGGTCATCGATGCGACTGTTGCTAGCATGCATGACAAGGCGGGCTCTTCTTCCTTGCATAGAAAGATTATCAGTTGAACCGTTATATTGCGAATTACGATGTGAACGATATCTATGAGAATTATTTTGATCATATTCAAGATCTTCTTCGGATGAATTCGACTCATCGTCTGAATCGCTGTCATAATTTTCGAGATGATCGTGGACCCCTTCAAAACGAGGTTCATAGTCTACTTGGTCCACATCTGAGACGTCATCACTATTGCTTATTTAGGTTAAAAGGCGGAGAGGTGCAGTTATTATAATTTTCAGGGTCAATACGAAATGCACAGTAGAAATACGTACTCTTCATTATCGAAAAAGTCTTCTTCAGCACCATTGTCGTTGCGAAACGGATGGCCGAGATTCAATCTTCCACCGAAGATAGAATTCACAACTTGCAGTACTCCTTCAAAATTGAGGATGACTTTAAAAACCAGGACTAAGTTTATACTAGCTTCCAAACGAACGTCATATAAATACCACGTTGAAAGTTGGCAAAATCTAATTCTCCCGGATGTGGCATATCATTTGGTTCGCTGAGATTTTGCGGAGTTGGGGGACTGCTTAGTGGATGTTCCCAAGTCCTTGGTTGTTTGACATATTTTTCCACCTCCGATCGACAATAAGGACATTTAAAGTCGCCTATTTTTCAATTCAAGGACGTATAATAGTAAGGTGAACTTGTTTGCATGATAAGTGATATTCATGTATGGTGGGATGACTACCTGAATGATTGAAATGGGAACTATTAAAGAACGGCGAGTGAACTTATATAAGCTTGGAAAAAAAACGATAGATAATAATATCATGGATAAATAAAAATAAGAGAAACGCACATACCCTAGACAATTCAAATGATATATATGACCACATGACAATCTAACTTGGGCATGCTTTGCTTCAACCTGCTCGATGCATATGGCACAGTCGATCGCCTCCCCTTCTGCATAATGATACATTTTCTCGGGTGGGCGTTCAAATGTATGTTGTGACGAACTTTTGCTAGGTCGGGAAATATGTGATGATGTTAGCAATCTCTACTTTCGCTGATTTAATATTTCAATACATACTACATACCCTTGTTCATTGACATTCATGCTGGAAGTCGTCTCCGGTGCTAGCGGATATTTTATTGAACGTACCATTTGTACCGTTCGATCTATCAACGGGATAAAATCCCTTCTCCCTTCCGCCTCACACATTATCCGTTTGTTGTTGAGGTAACCCTCAATCTCCCTGATATAGGAGTTAACTATATTGTCCATTATTATTTGTTTCTTCTCCTAAATACTGAAGTGACCATTAGACATTAAATAAGTTGAGTTCAGTTCGACCGAGATCCTGAATCGACCGTGTTTTACGAGTAATTATATGTGCTTACTATTTACGACGTCTTTTGTGGTTGGGTTCAAACTAATGATATAGAGAATGAAAAAAGATGGTGGAGAGAGTAAGCTGTTACTATTGAATGTGTTTTATAATATAACAGACAACCTCTCTCGAATACGTTTAGCTGCTTGCAGCTAAAAAAAATTTGAAATGAATGACACTTCAGAGGAAGGCAAGGAATGAAGGTATTACAGCCAAAATAAGATTGATTTGTAAAAAAAAAAAAAACGTTTGGTCAGGGGACTGGATGCGCTTAAAATAGAAATTTGTACAAGGGATCACAATCATGTTTCAAAGGTGTGGTACCCAACAAAACAGCTCCGTATAACGAAACGTGATGTTCTTTTGTCCAATCACGTCGCATCTATTATTTATATCGGGGATTGTCTTTTGAAAAAAGATGCGGCTTGGGCAGAGCCATGGCGTAAGCCGCATTGATGCGTGTAGATGCAGACATAAGCGAGAAAAAAAAAAATATTTTTTTTTTTTAACGTTGAAGACAATGGGCCATTTTAATGTCCTATATGTACAAATTCATTTTTGATTTCTCTGCGCAGTTGGATGTGCAACAATTGGATCACTCATACCTGTATAACCATATTTAGATTGCATCTCTGGTTGGGTGGGGGTTTCCGAAAATATTTGGGCAAATGCATAAAAGTTTGTTCATATAATTAATATTTAACCAACCATTCAAAGTGGATCTCGGTTAGTATAGTGGTTAGTATCCCCGCCTGTCACGCGGGAGACCGGGGTTCAATTCCCCGACCGAGAGCTTTGATAATTATTATTTTTTTTGTTTGTATTAGGGTGGCCGGAAATAAGCACTGCTTTTCGACGTTTTGAATTTTTCTATTATTTATAAAACAATTACTAAAACTTGTTAAAATCAAGTATATAGCAATTATGAATTAAATTACTGTATATTATTATAATATATCTTTATTAAAATATTAAATACATATTTATAATTATTTATATACTATTTGACTTAATTTTTTTTTATATTGCTTATAATCAAGTTAAACTTTTTTTTTTTTTTTTAACCCGCAATCATGCCACAATGGCGTGTCTTTATTGAAAAATTGAAAATGAATTTACAATATTTTACAGACTTTCACAAAGTAACTAACTTGTCTTTATACATAAGTACTCTAAGTCAGATTTTGGGAACAATGTTTCACTCCCTCAATAGATTGATAATAACCTCTATCTATCAGGATCATTGCCAACAGTTTGTCACTGTTGATTGCCCGAAAACCAATGAATTGCTAAGTTAAAAGGAGAAGAAGAAGAACGATTTGAAAAAGGGAACAATTCAAGGCTCACCAAAAAAATCCAAAAATAAAAACAATCTCTTTTCAAAAGGAATTTGCCTAATTGGAATAGTCTTCTTACTTCACTTAAACCTCGGAAAAAATCTTCTTTTTCACCATCTGCAGCATCGGATGAGTCAATCCAACTGGTCTTTCATTTAAGTGAACACCAGATTGGAATATCTCAAGAAAAGCATTTAAACCTCAGCTTTTTTCCATTAAAGCTTTATCATCACTTGAGGAACTTAGGTAAGAGACGAGAGTTTGCAATCCATATTACCCATCACTTGGTCTTTTGGTATCATAGAAGTTTTCATTGAGGGGTTTAAGCTTTTGGGAGGCAACCGTTTCCAGAACTTTCTTTCTAATCACCAATGACATCATCGGAACACGTGAGGTAACCAGTAGGAGTTTGTTTACATTCAACTACTAACATGTTTCATATCCACCCATCATATTTTGCAATAGATTGTGTTACCTAAAATTCAGGGTCAAATTGAGGTAGGCAAAATTCTCCAGAAAACCAAAAAAATTTTGGGCAACTATAAGAGGAAAGAAACAGTGGGCAGACACTTGAAAATATGGCTTGATGTTCGCCACCTCTCACTGCAGAAAATCTCTATAGACATGCTTCAATATGAAAGGCTTCAAGTACTACACTATTAGTTCTTCTTTCTTTTAGAACTTTCTTGCCATAGATAGAAAAGGTGTTTCTTGACTTTTCTAGGTCATAGGAAGCCAAGTTTTTGTTTGAAAATGAATATAAACAAGAGGGAGGGTTTAGGAGTATCTCTTAAAGTAAAACTTTAAGTTGGTTTAAGGATAGTGTTAAGACTTTATTAGCAAAGAAATAAAAAATTTTTTGCGAACATCTTTTTTGTGTGTGGGCAGAGGATCAGCGGAAAGAGTTGTTTTCCATTTAATAATCAGCTTTAGAACCTAAAATTTACTATAAATTACTTGTTTTATATATAAGTAAATATATGATATTGATTTGACTACTTATTAAATTCTATTCAGAAAAGTTCATCCAACCATAATAAAGATTATAATCAATTTTAAAGTTATAATCATCTATCTTTGACTATTATATAGGTTTCTCTCTAGCTCTATCAAATGGATAAAAATTCAAATCTATTCAAAAAGCAAAGTTGAGATATTTATAACATCAAAATAATAACTATATTAGTTTTATTTTAATTGTTTTAGCTAGTATTTTTATATTAATTATGTTATAAGCCTTGATAGTATCTTGGAAAAGAATCTATAGCTCTTTTTTTTCCTTATATGATTGTTATAATAATAAATATTGATTTAGTAAAGTCTCGTAGTCTCGTATCTAATGCCTGTTGATAATATGAATTTGGCGCTTAGGATTTTTCTCTGGTCTTTTATTGGTGAAGCCTTAATTACATCCGGAACATTGCAATATAATTTATATAGGAAAATATAACTAATCTTACCTAAACATTGTCGAAGATGGATTTACGCTCTTGGGTGTCAGATAATGCCTTGAAGGTACTCGCTCGAAAATTATTTTCGAAAACGGTTGAAATCTTACTCATATTCTTAAATTATCGATCATAGCTTTTGGGGATGTCCGAGAGGACTATAGTTGACTACATAATCGCAGAAGGTTCGTTTCCATAGTGTTTCCGAATTCCTTACCTTAAAATTCTAAGATAGTTTCTATGTCACAGCGCAATCTTCAAAGGGTAAGGAAGCCCTATACGAAAAATTGAATCACTTGCTACCCACTGCGGAAGCCCGGCAATTCATCGAGGAGTTGTTTGATCGAGTTCCTCGTAAGAGTTCGACTCAATCAGGCGTAAGTTCCTTCATAGTTACAAAAAGTATTCACGAAACCTTTTCTGATTATTACGTTTTTTTTTCTTTCAGGATTCTTCCGTTAAACGAAAAAGAGAGGAACAAGAAGCACGAAAATTAGTTGAAAGCAAAAATTCTTATAAATTCATACAAGACACAGATCTAGTTGTCGAAAGTCGTCTATCCAAAAAATCAAAAAAGAAAAAACATCTGCGCAAAAAAGACTCCGTCGATGACTGGGAAAGCGATTCAGAAGTAAAAAAAGATACGAAATCTGATAAAGCAGATAGAAAAGATTCCGGTATTCTTTCTTTCTTTTCTTTCTTTTCTTTGCATTTTTCTTTCTTTTCTTTTTCTTTTTTTTTTTTTTTACTTGTAATTAGATTATTCACGACCTCACATGTTATTACAATTAATAGAATCCGAAGATGAATATATTAAAGAAGAAAAAGAGAGGATTCAAGATCTCAAAGAAAGAGATGAATTTGCTAAGCGCTTGAGGGATAAAGACAAAGAGAGGGTTAAAAAGGTCAGACATCACCATTTTAAGACACCGATGACATTAGATTTACTATTTTCTAATTTTGTTTAGCTCGTGGAAGATCGATCGTCAAAGGCAGAGAGTGAAGCGGCTAAGCGTCGGAACCTTGCTGATGATGCGGATGCGCGTAGACAAATTTTACCGGAAATTCGCGAACGCTCTCGCCAAATATATTTAAAGGATAGGACTGATAAGCAGCTGCAAATGTTGGAGCTGGGAATATTAGATGAGGAGACATTTTTTAAAGATGAGAAGTTGACAAAGGCCGAAAGGAAAGACTTGGAATCTAAAAAGGAAAGGCTTAGATTGACAAAAGAGCGACTTAGCTTATCTGTCAAAAGTGATGAATATACAATGCCAGAAGGTATTTTTTTTTTTTTTTTTGTGAAAAAAAAAAAATAAATTCGTATCTGGTGAGCTACGGATACAATTAATATTTTTACTTTTTAAATTTCTATCACGTAGATTATATAACAGAGAAAGGAAAGATAGACAAGAAAAGAAAGGAATCAGTTCTTTATCAACGATACGAGGAGGATCGTGATCAAAATAAGTTTGTTACAGAACAAGAACAATGGGAACAAAATCAGATAACAAAATCTCAACTGAAAGTTGGAGCTCAGGATAGAGTCAAAGAAGAGGAAGATTATAGTTATGTTTTTGATGATCAGGCCATTGACTTTTTGGATTGGGATTGGAAGTTGAACAATAAAGACGATGAAATAATTGCTCGAATTGAAGAAGCTGAGCAAAAAGGTATTTGACGCTTCAAAAAAAAAAAACATAAGAATACAAATATTCATACTTAAATATAATGTACTTATATTTATTTCAGCCAAATCAATTGAAGAGACTCGAAAATCATTACCTATTTATGCTTTCCGCGAAGAATTACTTAAAGCCATCAACGACTATCAAGTTTTAGTTATTGTTGGTGAGACGGGATCAGGAAAGACAACACAACTTCCTCAATATCTATCCGAGGCAGGTTACACCAAGGGAGGCAAAAAAGTAGGTTGTACGCAACCAAGGAGAGTGGCTGCTATGAGTGTCGCTGCGCGAGTAGCCGAGGAAATGGGTGTAAAACTTGGGTATGAGGTAACTAACAATGTTCATTCCGAATTTGCGTCTCCGGATACTATAATTAAATCAAATTCTGGGCTCAATCGTTAGGTAGGATATTCGATTAGATTCGAAGATTGCACGTCTGATAAGACCACCATAAAATATATGACGGATGGCATGTTGCTTCGCGAATTCTTGACTGAGCCCTTGTTAGATGGATATAATTGCCTGATCATTGATGAAGCGCACGAAAGAACTTTGCACACTGATATTCTTTTTGGTCTAGTCAAAGTAATTAATATACGTTAAATGATGCATTTCCTTTTGCTTTTATGCATTTCTCGTTATTAATCTTATTTATTCATCATCTACGACGAAAAAAAACCCCAAATACGAAGGATATTGCTCGAGTTAGGCCCGATCTCAAGTTATTAATATCTAGTGCCACTCTGGATGCCAAAAAATTTTCCGATTATTTCGACGAGGCCCCTATATTCAATAGTAGGCATTCTGTTAATTTAAAGCTTATATTATACCTTACTATTTTTCACATCATATTTTTGCTTCGCTTAACACAATAGTTCCCGGAAAACCATATCCAGTACAAGTTTGTTATACTAAAGCGCCTGAGGCGAATTATATATCGGCTGCGATTACTACCGTCATGCAATTGCATATATCTCAAAAGAACGGCGATATTTTGGTCTTTCTAACGGTTGGTTCCTCAAAAAACCACTCTTTTGTAATACACAGTTATGTCTAATTTTTGATTGATGTAATTTGTTGTTATTTTGTGTTAAGGGGCAAGATGAAATTGAAATGGTTCAAGAAAGTTTGCAGCAAGCGTGCAGGGTTCTTGGAAGTAAGATACGGGAGTTGATAATATGTCCTATTTATGCAAACCTTCCTCCCGACATGCAATCCAAGATATTCGAACCAACTCCACCCGGGGCGCGTAAGGTAATATTTTTCGTATGATTATGTAAGCTTATAAAAAATCTTACTTATCTATCTTAATCTTCTAGGTCGTCTTGGCCACCAATATTGCTGAAACTTCTATTACAATTAACGGTGTAACGTTCGTGATTGACCCCGGTTTTGTTAAGCAAAATAATTATAGTCCAAAAACACGAATGGAGTCATTACTGGTGGTTCCCGTAAGTGATCTATTGGCATCCTGAAACAATTTAGTAATGTCCCATATGCATATGTGTTTGTTTGTTTTTTAAAAAATAGTGTTCGAGAGCATCTGCGGTTCAGAGAGCTGGTAGAGCTGGGCGTGTTGGTCCAGGCTACTGTTTCAGACTATATACGAAGCACGCGTTTGCCAATGAACTCGAAGAAAACACTATTCCTGAAATCCAAAGGACCAATTTGGGAAATGTTGTTTTGACCCTAAAGGTAGTCACTTGACTTTTAATTCTTTAATCACATAAGAATATGTATGATGTTTAACAATCGGGAGAATTTATTTAAAGAGTATAGGAATTCATGATGTAATGAACTTTGAGTTTATGGATCCTCCCCACGAACAAGCTTTAATTGCTGCGCTAAATGATCTCTACGCGTTAGGAGCCTTAAACAATAATGGCGAACTAACTAAACTAGGAAGACGCATGGCGGAGTTTCCTCTAGATCCATTTCTATCTAAGACAATAATATGGTCAGAGAAATATCATTGTACAGAGGAGGTACGTAGAATTGGATTTAAGTTAACGATTGAACTATTTTGTTCTTTGATTAATGCATTCTTTCCGTTTTTCCCAAGATTATCTCAATAATTAGCATGCTCACGGTCCAAAGTTCAGTGTTTTATCGCCCTAAAGATAAGAAGTTTCATGCTGATAAAGCTCGTCAAAATTTTATTCGCCCCGGGGGCGATCATTTTACTTTACTCAATGTTTGGGAGCAGGTAGGTTCCAGGAAACAATTCACCATTTTGTTTTCTTTTTTTTTTTTTCGAAATTTTTAATTATTAATCGTTTGACTTCTCTACCAAAATCTAAGTGGGTTGAGACCAATTATTCAATAAGTTGGTGTTATGAAAATTTTATAGTTTACCGTTCCATGGCCCGGGCAAGGGATGTTCGTGACCAGCTTGCTGGCCTCTGTGAACGTGCTGAAGTAGAATTGGAGTCGAATCCAAATCCCGGCGATATAGTGCCGATTCAAAAGGTTTATCTTTATATCCAAATGACAATGACAACATTGAGTTGGTCGCACTAACTAGATGTGCATCTCATTTTTAGTCAATTGTATCGGGATTTTTCATGAACGCCGCTCGAATTTCACGCTTTGGCGATTCTTACAGTAAAGTCAAGTATGGAGATTCGGGAAGAATAATACACGTTCACCCAAGCAGTTCATTATTTCAGGTTAATCCAAAATGGGTTATCTACTATGAATTGGTACTTACTAGCAAAGAATATATGCGCCAAGTTATGGAAATTCAACCTGAGTGGTTACTAGAAGGTTTCTATTTATTTTATTTGGTAATATATGATCATTAATTGATAAACTTTAAAGTATTAATTAATCCTGCGACTTTATTTTAGCCGCTCCGTACTATTATTCAAAAACGGAATTGGATAGTCTAAATGACAAGAAGAAAATGCCAAAAAATCGACAATCTACGCAGTCTTCGGGTACGATATGACGAACAATTTATTTCGCATTCAAAACGAGACGAGAAATGTAATTCGGAGACATCCATCCGTGTCAATGACTATTCGCGAAGAAAGTCCACAATTTAGTGAATAATTTGATAGTGTCTGTTGAATTTTAAATTAAATTCCCAATTAAAGATACTTACTTCAGACGAAAGGCTATTCTTTTTTTTAGCTGAATTTGCGCTTATGCTCCGAATGATGCTTACGGCCAAATAGCACTTCTTTTTAGTAACATGATCGAAGAATCAATTTTACTGTAGAGATGTAATCGGGCTGAAATATTCGTTATTTAGCCAAAATTTGTAATTACGGGTAATTTTTCTCCCTTGATCAGATGAAGTTTGTACTGTGTCCTTTACATTTCTTGATTAATAAATGACTTTTTTGCTAGCAATGCATTTTTTGGTCAAAATAATTCGAACCAACTGTCGTCGTTCGTGTCGCCTTTGGTGTTAATAACGCATCATTCATTTGATAGTTTTCTATTATTGTTGACTCTCCGTTTTGATAATAGAAAGGGCAAGATTACATGTACAGTAGTTGCCATCCAAACGGGACAAATGGTCAAACCTCCAAGGTTTTTTTTATTTTTTTTTCTGAAAAATGAATAATAGAAGTAATCCCGAAAATATAATAGTTAACTTATTTGACGTCAACTAAAATTAGAATTTTAGCACGGACAAACTATTCTAGTATAGTTTAGGTGTTTATCTATTAGAAAATCGAGTCAAACGACATATTATCATGCTGCTAAGGCCTGGGACCTAATGTTGTAAAGTCCGATATTGTAGACACGAAAATACATGAGATAAATGCACCGGGTCAAAAAAGTTTATGTCAAAATATTTTGCAGATACTCTCAAGAATACATTCTTGCACTTTGCTGAAATGTTAGTGCGAGGGTTGTAAATCTTGATGCCAAGGTTGTTATTACTAAGTCTCGACAAATCGTCAATTACAATCAACTTTTTTTGTTATGGACGTACATATTTAATTTGATCACTTTGAACAAAAGATTAGTCCATCCAAATCTCAAATGTGTGGACATACAAGTCTAATGGAAATAATTATTTTAAGTTTTACTGTACACAGCATGACATCTCGGTCGTTGGAGCATTTCGTAAGTATACCAAATAAAGATTATATTATAGGGTAATACTACATACGCAGCATCGTACATAAGGAGCGCCCTAATTGTCAATTCAAAGACACTCGAAAAGCTTTCAACTTCTAATAAGCGTGCCCGGTTCCTGTGAGATAATCAAATGGCAGAATAGTATATTTGTGAAACTGTTAATACTATCATCTTCAAACGTGAAACTTTTCACGCGCACACTCCTATTCATGTCTTACTTAATCACCGCTATCATATGACTTTTATGCAACACCTTGGCAGAGGTCAAGAAACCTTATTCCAAGCCATTTTCCATTATTTCATTCTGTGTAAACGAACGAAACCTTATTCCAAGCCATTTTCCATTATTTCATTCTGTGTAAACGAACAATTGATCCGCTTTCTAATCTCAATACCCATTTTTGTCTTCTTTATATTACTATCAAACTAAATTAAAATCTTTAAGTAACATATATAATGTATCAAATATAAAAGTTAAAATAATTATAATTAAACTACTTGTTTTAAAGATAGACTATATACTGTATATTTTGATCTATAAATATTTTATTTTAGACATTCAAAATATACTGTATTAAAAACTAAGAGATCGAAAAATTTGACAATTTCTATTTTTAATTTATTTTATTTGTAGTTAATTTATTAATCAAATGGATACATAAGTATATTTTTATTTGAGCAGCATGATATATACTATAGTTAAATTTTTTATTCAAATTTAACTTATTGTAGGTATTAATAGCCTCTAAGTTTGGTTTTGAAAAAAATTTTTTTACTTAATAATGAATTTTGAATGAAAATCTTTTTAAGTCCATATTAAGTTACTAGAATATAAAAAGTTATAATAAAAATAAATTAAAATAAAGGAAAAAAAAATAATCTCTATTTCAAAATTTTTTGCAAGTTTAATAAATTGTTATAAATCTTTAATGAATTATTATAAATTTTAATTAATTATATTATTATTTTATTAATAATTTATTATTAAAATTATAATAATATATTATATATAATAATAGGTCTTTAAAGTATTTAATATATAAAATTTTATAAATTATTTATATTTATCATTTTTTAAAAAACAAAATTTATAACTTTTTTTTTTAGTAAAAACAAATTTAAAAAATGCTATAAAAATTGGACTGATATTTTTTATTATAATTTAATAAATAATTATTGAATTT